GCCTGTATCAGTGTTTTACCTTTTACTGTCTCCACACAGAGCAGATAGATAGACAGATTCTCTACAGGTAGGTGAGATGAGAGCTTCCACCACTCCTGTTCCGAACTGCTAGACTTGAAGACCCTAGTTTTGAAGTTGCTAGCAACAATGTCCAAGTTAATAAGTTTTACTGAGACACTGGACATTTTAATTCGGCTTCTGGGGAAAGGTCTTAATACTGAGAAGTTTTAATAGATACTGATGTATAATGCACATAAGTGTCATGCTTATGTTAAGTTGTTACATTGTACGCCTACTTACAGGGGGGTTTTCATGCCCAATCTAGAGAGGTTGGGAGGGCAACTTGGGTTGGGTGCAATTTTGCCCTCATCTGCTGTTGGCTACATTACTCAAAGTGGGAAACAGCCTCCATGCCACTGCTTCCATTCAAGAGTCAAAAATTAAAACAAGCACATCTTTTTAATATTTTATATCTCTTTTCGATTATGCCAGAAGCCCACCAGCGAATTTTACTTTCTGAAACAATGTTTGTGACTACATCTTGTATTTGAATAAATACAAGACAGATTGGTGTGATCCAGAAAAGGAATACAGTAATAAATCCCTGTTCCTTTAATTTACACATTTTTTAGTTTTAAACTAAAAAATCTCTACGTAGCATATTTAGTCATAGCATACGACTTATCTCTACGTAGCATATTTAGACTAAGTGCACTTTGCCCTTAATACCCAAGGTATTCATAAGTTTATTTGCTTTTAAAGAAAAAAAAAAAGAGAGAGAGAGAGAGAGAAAAGGAGGAGGAACATATTTCCCTTTGTTGATTCATCTTAAAAACCTGTCTAACTCCTTTGTCTGAACAGAAAGAAAAAAATAACATAACAAAAAAATAAAAAGCACTGACAGTACAAAGTCAGTCCTCTAGGTAGCAGAAAAAGAGAGCCTTTCTTGCTGTGATCAAGTTTTGTGGATGTTCCAGTAACCTCAACATGGTTAATCCCACAAACTGTGTGCTTAATTCTAGTGAAAAGAATAATTTAAAATGTATTGTTGTTGTTGTTTTAGAGTTTATGTGAAAAGGGTGCCCTCTTCTGACAACATTTTCATTTCTTCTGAAATCTTAACTCTCTTCTTAACTCTTAGCTCTCTTCTCCAGTTACATTTTTTCCTTTGTTTCTGCATACTGTATTGGTAGGACCAGCACTCCATTCTTTACACTAATATTCAGAGCTTTGTAAGAAAGAAGTAAATATACTATGTACTTAATGTGAAAATTGCATGCAGGTGATAAACTTAATTAAAATCACCACCCCTTCTTTATCCAAACACAAAAGTAGCATACAATTGGATATCTGGCATCCTATGCTTGATATAGATATTAAATGGTGTTAGTGCTATTGTCACACTTACAATATTAGTATGATTCATCTTCCCATTTTCGGAAGCACCCAATGAATAGATCTCTTTATGCTTCAGTATTTTCACAGTGCCTGCATAAGGCTTTTGGTCTGGATCAGAGTACGCTTCTGAAATGATGATCCCAACTTGCCATGTCCTAGTTCACATTGCAGATCACCGGAGAGTCTCAGAGCATGCGGAGATGATTCCTTTCAAATGAAATTACAGTGAAAGAGGCCTTCCTGGAGAATATCTAATGTACTCTGATCAGTAATCACACATGAAACAGGCATGCCCATCAGACTGAAGGGAGACATGTAAGAATTACCGGACTTTGCTTAGCTTGGAGGCAGTGTCAAACCACTCATAACTAACACTGATGTACACATGCAAAAATGCTCAAAAGAAATCTGGGAAACTTCAAAGTGAAGCAAGAAATTGTGGTCCCCTTTGAGTGCCTATAGTGACAGCTATCAAATGCACTACTTTTTACGAGTGGTTTTGCATTTAGCTTATATCCTGGTTAAGTACCTCTTTAGGTCAACATATCTGAATCCTTCTGCTCTCATTTCTGTTATCTGTGCTGTAGGGGTACTTCATTCGCTGTCCAGACAGATATGTCTCACCTATTTGTTAATTACCTGGAACAGTCCTTAGAAGTAACTATACAAAATTTCCATCAAAAAAGCAGGTTTTCCATAAGACTTTCTTCTTTGTAAAATGTAATCTGACCTCCTTTCAGTATTGTCTTACTAAATAGTTTTCCACTTAGTTGCATATTAACATTGTCCTTAATTTTACCAGCATATATCTGCACTTAACCTGATACAAGTGAGTAATCCCAATGTGAAATCAATCCTTCTTAAGCTATCTGTGGCAGAGATCATAAACCACAACCCTAATGGATGGTATATAGCATCACTGAAATCAATAAAGCTATCCCAAATAAAACTGGCAAATGGTCTTGTGCCACATATCCTTAATCTAGACCATTTAAACGTACTGTGAGCTAGCAGTGTTGTAGCAAACATTTCCTGTACTATGCATCACTTTTGTTTTTAGTAAACTGCTGTTTACTCCAGTTTGTACTGGTGCTTAATCAGTTTCTCAATATATTCCCACCTGAAATGGTATGGTTAAACTAAAAGATGGATTTATCAAATACAGATCAGTTCTAAGACAAGTACACAGAAAGTTTGTGGTATCAATTTTATAAATCTGTCACTTAAAATTTTCATCTTCCTGTGAACAAGCACTAAACAGACACTGCATTAGATCTCTAAAGTTTCTTGCATTTGACAGAAAGAGTTTAGAATTCATTACTAGAAGCATATACTAACACTATCCCTTTGGCATTACTGCAAGCCAACATTAGTACTAGCCCCATTAGCTACAGGGCTTTGTTTTACTCATGGAATATCTCTTTGCTCAGATTATAGAGGTTTTAGATTTTCTCATGGGAAATTGTTTTTGGATTTTGAATTTTTTCAGTTAGAATGTATGTACACTACTTGTAGTAAAATTAAAGACGCTGGTGGGTATTTTGTGATGTGACAGACTACGTAGAATACTGTAATCCATGGAACCCCATCTTCAGCTCTGACGTGAAAGGAGATGCGTACGCCACTGAACTGTCAACACCACCGCTTTCAGAGCAGGGAACTCCTTGGAAGATTTCCATTTTCTGCCTGACCCTGATACCTTCTGCTGAGCTCAGGAGAGTTGACAGAATTAGCACAAAGTGGTATGTGGCAGTGGGCCATATCCAGCAGTGCTTTTCTGAACAATTACAGCATATTTTCGTCGGTGTTGGGAAACCCAAGGCTATATTCCAAGTGGTTAGTCACTTGGGAAGTGCAATTATGTACTGGAAATGCATTGCCTGGAACAGTCTCTCTTAAGAAATGGAAATTACAAACTAAATTAGGAAATCAGAACCAAAACCCTGATTCGTTTTTTCTCATTTTGATTACTTGGAACTCCTCACCAGTCCTTCTGCTTTGTTCCTCTTTACCTCAAATTTACCTAAATCAAAGCAACAAGTCACTATTCCTATCCTACCTTTTATATAGATATATTTAAAATGTGTTAAAATATTATTATATGAAAATGTTATTATTACCTTTATTCTGCATCACTGTGCAACTCTGGTAGTTTACGTCTACAGATCATTTCAAGATCCAAGGTTACGGTTCCCTCCCATAGCTCTTTACCTCTTTGTCTAGACAGGTAAAAGCACATGCTATGGCTTGTTCAGAGCTTTGTGCATTTTTCATAAAACTTATTCACCTCTTCATAGGTTTTTGACATTCTGTCCATTAGTATTTAGTTGAAATTGGACAACAAGTTCAGTGAACTACTGCTGTTAGGGACAGGGACAGTTGGGGTATAGGAAAGAAAGGAAACGATCAAAAGGGCTCATTTACACAAGAAAGGAGGATAAAATACACAAAACAACCTTGAAGAAGAAATATATACATATGTGTGTGTGTATATATATATGTGTATATATATCTGTTCTTCAAACAGAATCATCAGAAAAGGCAAAGTGGCTGGGCTTGGGGAAGCTGCTCCGAACTGGAAGACGTGGCCTGTCTTTATGTAGGGCTTACCCTTGCTCACATACCAGTAACTGAAAAGCTGACAACCATTTAAACGTGTGCAGCAACTCTAATTGCAAGGAGCCCAAACTGAAACAAAATGAAAATGCATATATTTCATCTTTAAACTAATCTCTTCATGAAAGACTTTCCAATTACTCCATATCTGAGTATATCACTGCTTTTTCCGTAGCTTTAATAGAAAAACAAAAGTCTAAATGGTTTGTAATAATATTCATCTAAGATGGACAAAGACATAAAGATATGTTGATTTAAACAGAGATTGTTGATTTAAACAACAATTTTACATATATGTTCACATTTTTATTGTTCCTCTTCTGAGAGACTGGGATATAAAAAGTAATGTGATTTCATTTATTCAAGGAACACAGTGCAGCAGAATTGTTATATATTATATCTACAGATTACATGTACAGTATATATCAACTTCACTTAACAAAAGGAAATTATGTTTCAATATAAAAACTATTATAAAGAATAAATAAATATACATATGACTTGATAAATACTGTGCCAAGATTATGCAGATAATTCATATTTAATTCAGCAGTCCCATCGCCGCTAACAAATAATAGCGAATATAGCAATGCATGTTCTTTGCTATGATACACTTGTTTTATTTCCCTAAAATTTCCCAAAAATATATTTTCCAATGAACTTCACTCTAAGGCACTCACAGGTCATCAAAAATATTAGCATAGATTCTCGAAAATAAATTTAACTTATCTCATTTCCTCTCTCATTGCATTCTTTATCCTGAGAAAGAATCAAATGCCACTGCTGTGAGACAAATTAAGTTAGCAGAAGTTCTATCTTCCTATATCACTTTCTTGGCATGGGATAGGCTTGAAGGTCAGTTCAGTGTTCTCCATTAACACAAAATCATATCTGCAGAGTTGCAGCCTATAAAGCAGAAAAAATACACAGTAGAGAAAACAAATATAAAAACATTTTAGTATCCAAATTCTTAAACCTGCAGCATTTACCAGCTCTCAGAGGCAGTCAATTCTCTTTTTCATTCTCTTTTTCAGTAAAGGTGCTAATAATTGTTTTCTTTTTAACTATTCCTGTTCTTGTTTTGGATAAAGGTGGCAGGACAAAATAAGTTGACTCATTTACTTCCCTCATGAAATGCATTTGGATTTGACTGACAAATTCAAAAGCTTTGGGGGAGAACTGACACCCGAATACCACACAAGTTACAAAAGTTTTCTTTTGTGACTGAACAAGAGTGATTTATCTCAGAGACCAGAAGAAGAGTCTGAAAATGATATGTACCCTCTAGTACCTTCACATTCACACATCATCTGTGTGAAGAAAAGGTCAGTCCAGAAAACAATTCTGCCAGTGATATTCCTCAGACTCCCAATGCCTATGATTAACCCAGTGACAGAGATTGCTATTATCTTATCCTTGCACCTGTCCTCTGCTTTTTACGTAGTATTTTGTTGTATGAATAATTTGGAGATTTTATTCTAATATGGTTTAATGTTGATTATCCTGTATTTAACTAATTGCTGTAATTACATCTAACTAAGGTGAATATAGGTAGTCATAATTACAATGAGTAATTATGTAATTATACCAGCCACCGACATCGGAACATCTGCATTTAAATTAACTTCACGTGTTCACTTGCAGATTCAACACACACTTTTCTACCACTGTCTAAAAGCATCTAATGTGCTTACAAGTCTGTCAGATGATGAGGCTCTATAAGAACAACTCTAGTGGATCCTATATTAAAACAAATCAAGTGCATCTTACTTTAAAATCTTACTTAAAACTAACAAGAGTTCAGAACAAACAGGAATGAAAACTGAAAACCAGTCAGAGATGTGGACTGAAAGTGTTCAGGATTCGCTAAATTATTCAGCTGAAAGTCTTGAATCCTGATGGCCTTACACGCAATGAATCTTTTGACTTGTCACCATTGGGTTGGGAAAAAAAAATGCCAAATGAGTTAGAGCTTTGGCTATTTCTCATTGGCAGATGTTTTTTAAATAAAATCACACTAGTTCACCTGAGATCCTGAGACTTATGGCCTTCCATAAGTTAATAAAGTCTATTGCACACACATTGGGAGTAGTATTTTGATTACTAAGTGTTCTATTTCTTCCTAAGGATATTAATGCATTTAGGAATATGCTATAAAAATCAACAGGGGCAAATACACATTTCTGAGGAAAGATGCTGCTCAGTTTAGTCAGTGTGCAACTTCCATACCTGATGAACACTTACCTTTCTGGGTTATTTAGAGATTTTAGCCTCATTTGGAGAATCCTGAGCTTATATTTTGGTCCTATTAAAGTCTTTGTAGAAAAGGTCAAGGAAATTCTCGATATTTTGTCAAGATCCTGGTAAAATCCAGTTAGTATTTTGACTCTTCTGTATTGCTGAAATGTTACAGCCTGACTAAAGAGAAATATTAATTTCTAGTCAGTGTTTCACTATGTGAGTAATATTAATTATTTTTATTAAGAACAGAAATCCGGTAAGATATATGGATTGAGAGCATTCAGAACAAGGACATCTAGAATCAAATTCAAACCAATGGCATGGGAGGATATGGCTAGCTTGCAAGTGGAGAGAAGCTCACTTCAGTGTGAGAAACACTGGCCTGTGGCTCTGAGCCATATAATCTCCAGAAAAAGGAACTGCAGAGAAGAATTAATAACTCCATGATACCCTCTAACAGAGTTAACAGGCCAGATGCAAGGTTTATGGAACTCAAGAAATTAGTTATGTGAAGAGATAAAAAAAAAAAAAAACACGTTTAGAGACAAAAAATGATTTACCTATCCATTTCCGATTCTACTGTCTTTCCGGCAAGATCTGTTATTTTCACTTTAATAAAACCTCTCCTAGTATTTTTATTCCAGGTAATGATATCCAATAAGTAGTTATACACTGCAAATAGAAATAGGAGGAAAAAAAAATAGATTCAAGATATGATCTCAACAGGATACAGTCTTTATTACTTATTACAAGTACTCTCTGAATGATGAGTGTAACAGTGACTCATTACTTCAAAGTTACCACTCTAAACTGGGACAAAAAGACTATTGACAAAAAGTAGCTTCTACCAAACATCTACTTGGATTTCTATGTAAATAACTTCTATTTCCCCAAGTTCTTACAAGGAAAGGATTTGCATCAGAAAGCTACTCTCAGAATTAATGTGAAGAATTTGACCTGCCTAAGAAAAGTATGTAAAATCAAGCCCTAACTGGCATCTTCAGATTTGGCCAGCTCCACAAAGCAGGGATAGTTTTGCTAAACTCTCGTATTATCCATAAAAGTAGTATTGCCACAAAACAGTCACAGTACATCGACAGGAAGAGGGGAGGAACAGCATTCACATAAGCTTTATGCACAGACGAAGTGCACAGTGAGCAGCTGAGCAGATCTATCCATAGGTAAAATTGAAGAGAAACATAATTCTGTGCTTTGCTTGCCCAGCCTGAGCAGTGGTAGCAGGACATGTCCTCCAACTACCCTTCTCTCAGAGCAGTTCAACCTGTTTGAACTGAACGTGTCATGGCTACTTGAAAAACTGTATGGGGTTGAAGGAGGAAGAGAACACAGAGGCTGATTGCTTTCCCAAGCTCTAGTCTCCTCTCTTGGGAGAGCTCACAGCCTCAGGAATCACATCGTGGCTTCCAGGGGCTGGCACCCTCCATGCAAGCAGACTACAGAAACATGTGTGCAGTTGAGCCTTCCCAGCTGGCAGCACAAGAGGGAGTTTGGTCTGTACTGCTAAGAAACCCTAACCTGGCCTTCTACTGCACTTCTCCAACCACCACTAATATTTTAATAACTCAGCTCTGCAGAGGGAATAGAGCTTTTATACTCAAATCAAATAAGCCAATTGAAATTTCTCTCTCTCTCTTTTTTTTTATACATATATTGCTTTTGAACATTCTCCCCTAAAAGATGAAGCCTCCTACGGGGCTTGTCCTGATCAGCTTTATAGTTTCACTTAGTTTAAATCTTCTTGTATATTCTTATTTCCTCATGTTTCAAACATCTAAGATTTAAGATAAAGTTTTAATTACTATATATCTTCTTTTTCAGACTGGTTTATTAGACTTAATTTTCTCCTTGAATTTGTATATTTTCCCTTAAGCTTATGCTGCCATTACAGCATTTCTTATTCCTCTCCATCTATCTCCTTCTATGTTTGAGAAAATTTCTCCTTCCTTTTCTGTCCACTACCACCTCGCCAGGGACTATCATATATCATCACTATCATGTATCAGTGTGTTTTTCTGTCATAAAATTTCTGCCTGGGTGGACTTCTGATAAATACCCAAATATTAAGGCTTGCCCAAGCAGGAGCAAAGCTCTGTTCTCCTTCTCATCCTCCACCACAGCATGAATATACAGGAGGTTTTTAAATTGTGCCGTAGGCTTTTCTATACAAGTCCTTTTCTCTCTATTCACACCAAGACAACTTCATCCTGGTGGTCACCGATGACCCTAGCACTAGCTTATGTAAAATCTATAAAACCTTTGTTAACCTCTCTTTGGCCATTTGAAATGTAACTAATGTAAAAGAAAGTGAGAAAGTAAGAAAAGTGTTGTAAGAAAGTGCACATTTATCACTATAACAACAAGAAATATTGAGTCACTGCCCAAAAACCTTGCCAAAATGATGGATAAAAGCTAATGGGAAAAGTTGATTTTCCTTGAATTCCCTGTAATCTCCCCACGCCACACATCAAAGAGCTTAAATATAACCAATTAGAGGAGTCCGCTAACATTCACTCATGGTGGTAAAATATGGCAATAGAAAGGGAAGCTGGATGAGAGTCTAAGCAGGACCTCCCCATGTCTAGGTAAATATTTAATCTGTTGTAGCTAACAGCTATACTAAAAGGGTTCATTCATATCCATAATAGTCACCTAAGTTTTCCCATCACTGTTTTCCTTAAGGAGAAATGGATCTATAATAGCTGCAGAAGCTTTAGTTCACTAAGGGGCACTCCTCTCTCCAGGGCGGAGCAAACAAATGTTTCTTCTCCTTCCTCCTTCAAGGCAATCTTCCTACACGTTTTTGCTCTCTGAAAATTGGGAGCAATGTTCCCATCATAGCAGGACTCTCTCAGTCCAGGCTTTGCCCTGTCACTTGACACTCATTTTCTGGCTGGCTTCCTTGGCAGCTCATCTTTCCTTATTTTTATGTAACGTTTCTTTTTCTCTCTTACTCAGTTCACTTATTGGGTAACTCTTCTGCCACAATCATTCTTCTCCTTCTCTCAGCCTGCGAGATGACAGCTGATGGTTTATTACGCCATTTTATAAAGCATGCAACAACAACTTCCTATTTTCAAATACAGACTTTCAGTCAAGATCAGCTAACAAATAACAACCATAACATTCTATAAAGAGTCTGTTTAGTACTTAGTCATGCACTTACTACAAAATGGGTCATGGTCCGAAGTATCAAAATAAGCTTTTGTTGGTAAATTATTTTGTATCAAGACTTCTTTCCACCTATCGGCATGATAACCTGAAATCCAAAGTTTATATATTTCATTTCAGACATTCAGCAAAATCATGATATGCATATAATTACACAGAAGTAAGTCATCTAAAGTGATAGATTTGGCTTTAACTTTCTAAAAGATTGTGTGGGAAAGTAAATTATTAAGGAAAATGTAGGAACAACCTCAGTCTAATAGATTGTAGATATAGAATGTGGATATTATTTAATAAAAATGTTAAATCCTATTTAAACCTGCTAAACTCTTAGATGCAAGATAGAAAGTATTTTTTTCATGCAGTTTTATATTTATTATCTTTTGGTCTTGATCTTGGGATAGTTCCAAGTATGTGAAAAAGGATGCTGTTTCTTCTCCTAGTTTTCAGGTTCAGCTGCCTGCCATTTCCTCATAGGTTTTATAGATATATATTTAAAAAAAATATAACAGCTGTTTGGACAAACATTTCTCTACTTCTAGGCCAGGCTTTCTGTGTCAATGCATCAGATATGCCTAATAACTATTCTAGGGAAGTCCTGGAATCTTTCTGCCCTATTGTGAGGTGCCATTATAGTCTTTTTATTATAAAACGGTATATATCTTTCAATTTCTTGCCTATTTCCAAACCTGATTCATCTACTATATGGTCTAAGGATGAAGACAAGGTATGAATTCAGAGTTAACTTCTATTTAAACTTCTGTTTAAACACTTGTTTTTTAAAGAAAGCATTACTAACTGGGAAATGTTCATACCATTGTAACTATTTTCAATCTATCCCCAGATCCTCTCTAAAACAATAAAATGTCAAATTAAAAAAAAAAAAAGTATATTTCGAAAAAAAATTTGACTCCAACAGAGGAGCAGAGTCAAAAACTCCATGAAGTTACAATGAACATTACTACTCCAAGTAAAAAAGCACAGTTATTCTACAGATGATACTGCATTGTGGAAGCCTACAGTGATGGACTAATTAGAAGCAGTTTCTCTGTGCAGAGAAAATTCACAGTGAATCTATTTCAGATTAGAAAGCCTAATAATCAAAGATTGGGAACATCCAATGCTTTTGTCCAACAGAAACATCTATAAAGTAGCCAAAATCTTAAACTTTAAATTATTTTAAACAGTATTCAGCTCTGTAAAGAATCTCTAACAAGAGACTACAGACCTCTGTAGTCATGGAAAGAACAAGTCTAAATTACTGAGAAAATCTCACTCAGGTCAGAGGAGATGCCATAAGTCTTACCCAGTACAGGGCAGGACATTGGATGAAAAGCCTTACAGTCGACACATTGTCCTCTCTTGTAATCAAAGTATGAGTCACAAGGATATGCCGTTATGTTGCACCCGCTTTTCAAGGATGATAGGAAGAGGTAGACAGATCTCTGATGATCACATTTAAAAAAATGAAATCCTTTAGGGAAAAAATATACAAAGAACATACATACACTATTTTTACTTCTGGAGAGAACAGATGTTATCCAACTAACCCTGTTTAACTTAGTCATTTTTAGTCAGTCATGTTTTTATTCTCTGGTTAGTTGACCATCAACAGTTGCATGTGATTTATTTCACTTTAAGTCTTTGAAAGTGTAAGAAATGGAGGGATATACACAAAAAGAAGAAACTGAAGACTATTTAGAATGTACAGATACCAAGAAAAGTCTATAGGGTTTTATATGCTAGAAATAGTCTACTATATCCTATCAAATTTACAGAATTACAGTGAAACTGAGTTAAAGGCTGAATTAAAATAGGCTTTATTGAATCTCTAACCAAGTTCTTAAGTAAAAAATAAAAAAAGGAAAAAGAAATCCCGCACATCTAGCTCAATATAAACATAGAAACATAGAAAAATAATGATTATTATATGCAGACTATATATATATATATAAGAACAATAATGGTGTAATGGGATGTGTGTACTTACAAGAAGATTTTTATTAAAAAGAAAAGTCATTTTTCTTTGTTATTTCTCATTTGCTGAATGGGCATGGAAAAGAAAGAATACAATACCCTAGCCCTCATAAAACTGAACATGTGTGAGTTGAGTTTGCTTTTTTTTCACTTGCTTTCAGACTCTTTTTCCTAATAACAGAAAACATTTTTATTTACCGCTGAATACTGTGTTTGGACAACCAGGCTGATCCATTCCTCCATTTGGATAGAAATCGATGGTTCCTAAAGGTTGCCTGAAACCTAGAACTGAAGTAAAAACATACATCAAAAGCACATAAATAGAATTGTCCAATGAATAATTTGTCATTACACAGAAATCTTACAGAAAATTTTTGCGGATATACTCTTTTGTTCTGTAAAGAGTATGTATACAAATCTGTGCATTATATGGCCACAAAAGAGAATCAATATAATAGAAAACAATGACAATTTCATGTTGCAGTTGAGTTACTTGCACTAAGAAATTTATGAAATGCATGTCCTGTCTAGCAAGCAAAGTTCTGTCCCAACATATAGTTCATTTATAACTCATTTTTTCACCAGATGCCGGATTTTGAGTTACACTAATGAAAACAATAAATTATAATAAGGTAGGAAAAGAAAACATATTTGCCTTGTAAAAAACAATGACTTATTTCAGCAGCATTTAATCCAAATAGACATACCTTCCTTTTTAACACATTATCTTAATCCACATACAGATTAAGGAAAATTGGATATGGACAAAGGAAATGCTAAACACTTAATATAAATTTGTACAGAAAAAAAACCCTAAGTTTTAGTCTTTTGGAAAAAAAATATAAAGCTACACAAATAATGGGGCAAGCGGTACCTTTGAAATGTTTACTTATGTTTTTTTGTTAAAAACAAACAAACAAAAAAGATGGATTACTGTTTGGACAGACGAGCAGATTTCCACAATCTTCATTTTAACCTTACAGTAATATGACTCTATATAGAATAAAAGCAATGGATTTGTACAGAGTAGTCCTATGATACAGCTGACACTGGATATCTCGGAAGGGAACTATATATAAGTAAGAATATCTTAAATTAATGCAATAGATAATTTGTTAATTAATTTGAAGACTTCTTTTGTTCTTATTCATAATGCATATAATAAAACAAACAGGATAAACAACTGCTGAAATCTCTACTGTCACATGACATTAAATGGATTTAGGAATATATAGCTGCTACCAGCACCTGTAGCTGGTTATTCGAAATGAAAATTGTTATTTCTTTATTTTTAGGTTCAGTCATGAAATTGAACTTACTCAATAAGAGCGCTTCTCATGTCAGAGGTGAATGAAATGGCCAATTATGCTAAATTAGCATAATTAGCAATGTTTCTTGAAGAATAGGTATGATTAGGTTCAATATGATGTCAACCATATAGATGAAACCACTTGGAACCAATATCACAGATACCCTGCTGATTCACAGAATACACCACTGCAATACTGTTTGCAAGTTCCTGAATTACCTTATCCTTTCCTTTCCTATCATTCCTCCATTTAAAATAGCAAAATTAAAGCTATGTCATTACCATCGATATCCGTATGAATTACATCAATAAATTGTGCATCAGTGTAATACAGTCTCCCTTCTGGTGGTTTCTGAGAGAACAAAGGACCTGCAGGATCAAGACCTGAAAGAAAACAATGCTAACATTACAAATCCAGGGGTCTGTTTCTACAGCCCTCTACAAGACCAGCATTCACAGCAATTCACCCATTTTCTTGGAGTATGAAAATAAGAACAGAAAAACTGCACAGTTCTCAAAATTCCATTCTTCAACTTAGTAGGCAACTCTATTGTTCCTACTACAAGACTGATCAACCTATATCTTTGAATTTCTCTCCCCGTTTTCCAGAAAAGTCAGCATTCACAGCAATTCACCCATTTTCCTGGAGTATGAAAATAAGAACAGATAAATTGCACAGCTGTTCTCAAAATTCCATTCTTCAACTTACTAGGCAAGTATTGTTCCTACTGCAAGACCGGTATCTTTGAATTTCTCTCCCTGTTTTCCAGAAAAGCTTTAAGGCAACAGCACTAAAGATCAAGTCAGGAGAATTCATCTTGCCTTTTTTTTCCCGTGCAGAAAATAGCATACCTATTCTGTGCTTGGTAAGCACACAATCCGCAGCGTAACTACTCTCACCACCAATACCCAAGATGTCTTATCTCTGACACTGCTGAAGTTATGAGCCTTGTGTTTTTGGACTACCCACTCTTCATTTTTATTTATCAATATTTATAACTATAGGAAGGTGGTTAAAACTTTTAATGCAATTCCATTTGCCTTTGAGCATCTGAGTCCAGAAATGATATCAATCTGCTAACTCCCAATCATTGCAAGAAGTTAAAAAGGCCACAAGCCTGCTAACCTAATACTGGCAGCAAGCCTGCCCCAGTATCTGAAGCCCACAAGCTCAAAGAATTCGATACAGTCTTCCAATTAAAGGAATATAATTGGATCCTATTACGGTCCTGGAAAATACCCTGACCATATCATTTTACGAAAGGGAAAGA